CCCCCCCCCCCATTCTTCTAAAAGAAAAAGAAAATTCAAGAAAACCTCCCTTGTTGTCAAATTCGCATTATCATAGGCTTTCCGATGCTTTTGAATATACTCCGTCGTCTCCGTTCCGGGAGGGTCGCACGTAACACTGACAGCATCCGGATCCTGATAAATCCTCACATAATCAAACCGCATTGTCGCAGGCATCACCGTCGCCAGACCGCTTACGTTCAGAAATGCAAACGTTTTCGACATCCCAAAGTTCATGACAAGCGCCATGGGTTCGGCGGGGATGACGCGTTGGCCTATGTTGCCGTTTGGCCCGAGAGCCCGCGCGTCGAGTTTCCAGGTTTTATCCTTGCCGACGAACCAGGTTATTTCACCTTTGGGCCCGGGTTTGTATTCGAACGCGTAGACTTGGTAGAAGCGGCCATCGTACCAGTGGTTGTTTACTGTTGTTATCCCTGAGATTGCTTGTTGGTATGGACCACCTCGATAGTCGTTTATGGCTGTTATTCTGGGATCGTAGAGTTCGTAAAAGTCTGTGGATTTTTTTTTTTTTGTTGTTCATTAGCTAAGACAGTATAACCAATTGAATACACAAAGAGAAGAATAGAAAACATACCAAAGTTAGGCATATACCACACATCAAACGGCGCAACTTGCATACTCTGCGACACATCCCCCACATCTGACGGTACTTTGGGATCTAATGCATGCACGCTTGCTTCAATAACATCGATTTCAGGAGCACTTCGTGATTTACCAGGGCTCGGATGATCCTCTCCCTTGCACGTGCAGGCGGGAAGGCGCATGCCAGGCAAAAAACTAATACCATCCGTCGAGCTCTGGTTGGGAGTTATGCCGGCGTCACATACGTTGTCATAGCTATACGGCCACATCCCTTCCGTCGTAGCAGCATAGCCTGGCCGACCGAGATTGCCCATGGCCCAGAACCCAGGCCAGAAACCAGATGTATCACCCCTTCCGGGAAGCGATATACTCGCCTCCAGACGTCCACCTGTGAAACATATTTGGTTCCAGGATTGGACCATCCCGGACCGATAATTCAGCTCGTGGTTTGGGAAAGCATCGAAGCGGATCTCGAGTTTGCCATTTTTTGTGGTAACGGCGTCTGGGTCATACCACTAAATAAAAATAATCAAGTCATATGAGTAAGTATTTATGGATGATGACCCCGACTATTCACTTACCTCTAGATCCTTCGTCACGCCATACCAAAGATCAACAGCCTGAAAGAAAGGATCGTCCCCTTCGTAGAACGTCCGACCGTCCTTGTTAAATTCATCGGAGAACTGGGGTGACAGATCAGTTAACCTTGGCAAACAAACCAACGAAGCCACTTATTTTAGTCAACAACGAATGGGTTAGGGAGCTTCCTACCACCAACTGCCACTTCTTCCCGTCAACGGATATTTTCGATTTTGCGGACTCCGGCGTATCCGGATCTATTAGCGAATATCGAATGTTTTGAAGATGTGGAATAGGACCGACATCTAGGCACATCGGGTCGTCAGCACAAACAGGGCCGGAGGGTTCTATCAGCTTTTCGATAAATGTCCTATTTAAAATGGCATGCAAGTTAATTTATCTTTCTCCCTTTTTTTCTTCTTCCTGCTTGGTTAAACGTATTTGGATAACCTCGATTCGGGAAGGACACTCGTACAAAACGGGATAAACAACAAATAGCGTCACGACCCCTACCACCACAACTGTAAGCGCCACCAGGTTAACTGCACCTCGCCGCGTGCAAACATCGCAGTCTCTGTCTGCATCGTTCGGGTCCGGATTATGCAGGTAGTCATCCTTCTCTACGTCCTCAGGAAACACCAGGAGGTTTTCAAAAGGCACGATGGCATATTTCTCCACGACAGTCTGGGTCGTGATGGGCTCATCATCGTCTGTCCGGGAGTGACTCCGATTGTCCCGCGTTGGACTGAAAGGGTACCCGGAGGCCTCCCAACCGAGGCCCCCCTCTGAGCTCTGACTTGCTCTTCGTGAACGTGTGATTGGATACTTTGAACCCTGGCTTTCGTCCCGCTCGTGCCGTGAGGGGTTGGAGAGTGGCAAGCACTCTGAGGAGTCACTGCCATGCAGAGAGCCTTGTCGAAGGCTGGGGATATGGGGGCTGCGGAGGGTAAATGAGG